TACCAGAGGGTTCGCTCAAATTATATTCTTGTCATTGGCATTTTGGAGCTTGAGGACAACAGAACTATTGCAACATGAATTTTTAGAACCAATTTTGACCACAGTGAAGTTACTGTGAAGGCTGAAGGTCAAGAGTATGATTGATTGGGTGATTAGAATTCCTTTTAAAACAAATTAGAGGTGGTAGGTTTGCCAGTGGCGAAAAGTATTACAAGGAAGTGAATCTCATCAGCATATAAAACTCAGATCATCAAGAAGTGTTTCATATTTAACATATAAATGTGCACGTGCACACACAGGAGTGACCTGCATAGGAATTTGTGACATTTTGCAATGTAGTATCTAGCCTGATTTTTCTGTTAAATAACATAATATACAGGCACTAGATTGAGTATATATTTGATTTTTAATATAGGGACTGGTACCTTAAGTATTGAAAACAGTTATCAATTCACTTTATCTACTTTTTATATTTGTTCTTTTATGTGGGGTCTTCTAGGTGACTGGATTTATGATCAGGCATTTGTGTTTGGGATCCTCTATTAGGAGACAGAAGGGACAGGAAGTAAGTAAAGACCAATGTTTAGGAAGGTAAGGGACAAAGAATGGAGAAGGTTATGTCGTGTGTGTATGTGTGTGGGCAGGGTGTCTGTTGTCTTGGAGAGTAAGGTGAGGTGGTAGTCTCTGGGGAATTAATATTTCTCAGGAACCTAATACATGTCAGACATGCACTTTCATGTACCAGTATATTATATCCTTACAATGATGTTGGCATGGTAGATATAGAAATTATTTGTACTTTCAAAGGAAAAATTGAAAGGAAGTTAAGAAGATGTTAAAAAAGAACTTCTAAAAGTAAAAGAAAAATAGTGATGATGATGATTGTTAGAGATGGACATTATTACTTTAGTGGTAGCTCTTACGGTATTTTTATTCTAATTTTTTGGGGGGATGGAAGGTAGAGTATTAGATAGAGTCAGAAAAGTTCAAGTTGGTTATCAAGTTGGCTACATCCAAGCTAGTTGAGCTCTGTACTTTTGGGTATGCTTGGAAATTTTTATAAAAGGTTTTTAAAAAATGATCAAAGAAGTAAAATAGTCTTAGTTGTGATAAAAAGTGAAAGAGTATTTATGAATGAGCAGGGGGACTTCCTTCAGACCTATATGATAGATTAGTCTGTGAACCCATTTTTGAGGCAAAATTATTAAGAAACCATTTAGCAAATAAAGGCAATAAAATCGCTGTTTTAAAAAAATGTGGTAATTTCAGCTCAATGTGCGAAGACTCTGCAAAAATTAGGTAGTTTCTTCATCTTTACGCAATTGCAGTGGAATTTCTGTCCCAATGAAGGAGCATTTATACTAGAAGGAAGCCAAGGACTAGAAGGAACTACAAAGGCAGGAAAATAAGATACTAGCTAATGTTTTGGGGAGGTTACTCTGTGCTGGGCACTCTCACATAAGAACTATTTAACCCTTACAACAACTCTACGAGGTAGGGACTGTTATTATTTATTTTTATTTTGTAAAGTGTACAAGACATAAAAGTTACTTTCTTAAACATATTTATGTGTGTAATTCAGTGGCATTAACTATATTTACTTTGTTGTGTAAAGTATCACTACCATTCATTTAAAAACGTTCCCCCACTAAAACTCTGTGTTCATTAAACACTAACTCCCCATTCCTTCCTCCTCCAGCCCTTGGCAACCACCATTCTATTTTGTGTCTGTATGAATTTGACTACTTTAAGTACCTCATATGAGTGGAATCATACAGTGTTTGGCCTTCTGAGACTGGCTTATTTCACTGCAATAATGTCCTTAAGATTCATCTATGTTGTAGTACGTGTCAAAATTTCCGACCTTTTTAAGAATGAATAATATTCTATTGTATGCATATACCACAATTTATTCATTTATATGTCAGTGGGCACTGGTTGTGTTTCCCTTTTGGCAATTGGGAATACATATTTTGCTATGCACTTTCATGTATATTACATCCTTACATTATGCTTTATAAATATAGTTGAGTTCCTGATTTCAATTCTTTTGGGTATATGTAGTATATGCTAATTCTATGCTTAATATTTTTAGGAACTGCCATACTGTTTTCTACAGTGGCTGCACCATTTTACATTTCCATCAGCAGTGCACCAGGATTCCAATTTCTCCAGGTAGAAGGTAGTTACTACTCTTATTTCAATGTTACAGAGAAGGAAAAGAGGTTCAGAGAAGTTAAATGAGCTCACATAACTACCATGTGCAGATATGAATTTGAACCCTATAGTCTGACTCTAGAACAGTGATGGCGAACCTTTTGAGCTCGGTGTGTCAGCATTTTGATAAACCCTAACTTAACTCTGGTGCCGTGTCACATATAGAAATTTTTTGATATTTGCAACCATAGTAAAACAAAGATTTATATTTTTGATATTTATTTTATATATTTAAATGTCATTTAACAAAGAAAAATCAACCAAAAAAAATGAGTTCGCGTGTCACCTCTGACACGCATGTCATAGGTTCGCCATCACTGCTCTAGAACCTTTGATATACAGGTGTTAAGATGAAGCACAGGGACACGATTAAGAGCACTATGCCTAATACAGTGTTGGAACTTGGATTCAAATCCAGGCAGCCTGCCTTCAGAGTTCATGTAGTCAAGCACTCTTAGATTTAATAATTGGTCTTCCTTTTGTTTGTTTGTTTGTTTGTTTGTTAAAAGTGCTCTTGAAAAAATATGCCATATTTTGTAGAAAGATATTAATTTTGTTTTTCTTTGCTTTTCTAAATTTATCTTTTAAACTCTTCTGTTACTTAAAATGTATTTAAAATGCGTGCAATTTATTTGATTTTAAAAAAAATTTAAATTTCTTGGATAAATTTTGCTTTTAAATGTTTTGAATAAATCCAAATTGATTCTCGTGGAGTTTATAATACATTTGCTACCTACCCCTGCCAGAGTTTCAAGTAAAAGCAAGCAAAACTATCTTTCACTGGTAAACATTGAGGACTTTTAAAAAAATATTCAATAAAGTATATTTACCAGCTTTATCAACAGAGGAGCAATAGCTAGGAAATGTACCTATTCCTTTAATCCCTGTGTGTATTTTGCTAAAAGGGTATGTATTCTCTCTCAAAGACTGGGCATCAGGTGGCTTTGTGGCATTCTGAAAATAGTGCTATCTCTGGGCAATGCTGGTTCGGCTGAGCCCATGTGTCAGTTCATGTTGCAATTTGTCTCTAGCGCTTCTTACATTTTTCCAGGGAGGTGCCACTGAAAGTACAGATTGAGGGGCCTCCTTGACCCCGCTCATCTGGGCAGGCCATGTGGGTCAGTGACCTCTTCTAAGCTGCATTTTAAGAGGGGCTTCTGGGTGTTCATGCGCCCTAGCTCCTTTCCCAGTGTTGAGGAGAATAGCTCATATAGCACACTATCATAGCTGGATGTTAGTTATAGACAAAGACTCCTGATCCTAGCATATCAAGGGCCCACAATTATGCTAAGATGAACTCTGATTTGCAAGGTATCTTGAGAATAATCTCTAATTTAGTGGTTTCCAACCTTGGATGTACACTGAAATCTACCTGGGGAGCTTGAAAAAGGCCCACCTCCAGAGATTCTGATGTAACTGATGGTATGTGCCCTGGATATTGGGATTTTTTAAAAGCTTCACAGATAATTCTGATGTTCATGGTGTCAAGGTATAGGATCATTGCTCCAAATTCTCGTGAGTGCCTTGTTCTTTGGGCTCTTGAGATTTTTGCCATTACAAAGATACAGAAATGTCTGTTCTCGGCATGTCCTTATTAGTGGGATTGCTGGAATATATTCCTCAAATACCAAGGGAATTTCTTCTATTTTTTTATTTGTGGTATAAAATTATTTTCATATCCTTATGGAGTATGCCTAAATACTCATGTAATTTAGTGCTGGTTGCTGTAGAGCACAGAGCTCATTTACTTTGTAGAGCCTTGAATTTAGAGATACAGGAAAGACAACTATTTGCTCCTAGGTTTCAATGAAAACTCCAGGTCACTCTCTGATTTCTAACGGTAGTTTCATTTTATAGACTGGAGACTGATGATGTTTGAGCTGCAATTTCTGTAGTTCCTGAAGGCTTCTTGTTTATACCCTCACCACCTCTAGCACTTGCCCTCTTATGCATTTAAATACTTGGCCATATCATTGCTCCAGGAAATCTGGCTGTATCTTTGAGTAAACCATAGTCAATGTGAGGATTCTTTGGTTTAGAGGAATGATTTGTCTTAGCCTCTCCTGGGCCGTGGGAGTTTGTTTAAAAAGACAGTTATGGGTCTGGCATTGTCTTCCCTGTGTTGGACTGTGGCTTTAAGATTATTTGGTGTAAAGTTCATCATAGTTTAGAGATGAGATTTGGAGTTTAGGGAAACAAATATTCTTGCTTTGATTTTGTTTTTAAAATGAGTGTTTAGGTGTAAAAATTTTAAAACTTTGTCCTTGTTTGTTGTACAGGTTTCCACCATGATCCTGTTATCTGAAAGTAGGGTGTTCCATGAAACCTTTCATATGCCAAAATGGTGTAAAGCAAAGAAGCAATTACCATTAATTTATGTGGAAAAGTTTTGAGTATTTTCCAGGTTGGCCACAGAGCTGATACAGCATGTAGGGTTAAGTAGCCCCAAGTTTAAATCAATTTCCATCTGATGATTAATGTTTGTTAGGATCGAACACTCTTCCTGATTTGCATCCTTCATCCCAGAGTCAGCCCAGAAGATGCCAGCCCTGCTCTCACTTTGCCTCCTGTTTCTTAGACACACATGTGTGTAGCAACACCAGACACACTCCTGTCTTCACCAGAAGTGAAAGGTGGTTTCTGCTTTCTTCCCCAGATCTTTATGAGTATTGCATTTCTTGCCACAGACATTTCTCATTGCTACAATGTGAAAATCTGAGCTCATTTATTTTAAATAAGTTATCTTATAGCCCCGTGTGACCCTATATAAATCTCTTAAACAGATAACTAAGCTGACAGCATGTGTGGTGAGCCCGGAGAATTCTCTGCCTCAGGATGCTCGTAAAGGAGGTAATTGACTGGGGTTAGCAGATGGGCACTGCTCATTTTTTGGCAATCATTGACATTGACAAGTATGCGGCACCTCCCGGGGGCTCTTCATGAAGCTGTTCTGTGCACAGGGTCCCAGCACCCCCATGCAATCCTCCTTGGGTCAGGTGGCAGGCTGTGCTGTCCTCTTGATCCTTATGATCAAAGGCTTGCATTCCATTTTTTTAAAAAAGGTTATTTTTTAGTAATATAAGTATCAATACTTTATTACAAAAAGATAAGAAATAGGAAGAGAAAAACACCCCCATTCACTATCCTAAAACAAAGATTATCAGGTTTTAAACTTTTCTCCAATGATTTTTACATAGTTGTACCTGTTGTTTTATATTTGTATTTTCCCTTATTGCTACATAATCTCCATCATTACCATTTTATTTTTTTATTCATTCAATATTTATTGAGGGCTTGCTATATGAATAAAGCAAAAATTAAACAAAATAATACTATATGCTTTCTGTATCAAAACAACACTGTCAGTAATAAATATAAAAGACAAAAAAAAAGCAAATTGAATTTATTTTGGATGACTGCAACAAAACACACCGGTAAAAGACTCTTTACTTCTATTTCTGCAGATTCCACCCAGTTTTCAATTATTTCGATACATTGTCTCTTAGCTGGTGGTTCTTCACTTATAACAATTTCTTCAGCAATGTCCGTTGCTGGTACTGTTAATACTTGCTGTCCATCTGGCATGGTCACAGTGATGGGCTGGCCTATTCCACTGGTTGGAATGGAGTGCAAATTTCCAAGCTGGATTCCATCCGTTACTATTGTGATGACTTGTTGACCCCCTGAACTAACTACTTGCTGAATTGCACCATCCACTGATTCTGCAGTAACTACTTCCTCCGTAGCCACTACTGGAGTTTCTGAAGAATTGGACAAGGGAGCATATGCTTCAGCTAAGGCAGCTAATGTAGCTAATACTGATGAGAGGAGTTTCCAAACTGAACAGCGAACACACCTGTTTCATCTGTTAGGTTCACCACCCCTCCAGGTCCAATGATAAACGTGTTGCAGCATGTGTTGTCACAGTGTCAGGTTTGTGTTGATTTGATTCTGCATTGCAATCTGTAATATCTCTGCTAAATCTTCATTCCCATTGTCTACTGAAATATCAAATGCAGTTTTACAAAATTTACTCAGCATGTGTACATCAGCACCATATTTGTTTAAAAGCTCCACCACATCTTGATGGTTGTGTTCTGTGGCTCAATGTAGAACTGTCATCTTTAACATGTTCTTAGCACTGACATCAGCACCATGCTGAAGCAAAACCTCTACTATGCTGGCATGGCCCTCAGAAGCTGACATATGTAAGGGCATTCGGTCCACTTTGGTTCTGGCATCCCTACTTACACCAGCTCGAAGTAGTACTTCTGTGGTGGAATAATGCCCATAATGTGCTGCCAGATGAAGTGGAGAAGTTCCCAGCCAGTCTAGTAAAATCCATTTGCCATCAAAATACGAACTTCATCATCTTGATCTGCTTGTGCCGCTTCTAAAAGCTTCTTTCCCAAATCTACCAGGAATATCTGGAAAAGCTTTGGGAGCCGCGGGAAGGGAGCCGATCCAAGGCGCTCGGTACTGGCCGAGCTGACGCGGCCCAGCTACACACACAGCGCTTCAGCTGCACAGGGCGCTATTTTCCGAAAATGCCGCGTCTGGTCGGCACCCAAAATCCCCACGGAAAAGTCCCCCGTGTGCGTGTGCGAGTGGTCCGCCTCCCAGCAGCCCCCATCATTACCATTTTAATGGTTATATAACATTCTGTTGTGATGCTATCATTATTTACCTCTGTTGTTGACATGTACATTGCTACCAACTTTTCACAATTATAAATAATATTGGGAAGCATATCTTTGTGCATGTAGCTATTTCCATATATTGAATTAGTTTCTTATGACAGATTCCCAGGTGTGGCATTACCAGGTCAAAGAGTATGAAAAATTTTATGGCTTCTAAAACATATTGCCAGATTGCTTTCCAGAGAAGTGAAACCAATTTATAATGCTCTCATTAAGTAAGTCATTGTTTTGCAGATGGCCAGCTAGGGTTAGGGATGCAGACTCTCACAGTAAGAGCGGTCCAGAAGGGGTGTATGTGTGTTTGCAAATTGGCTTGTTCATATGTGTATTGATTTAAACCTCAATGATACTCTGCAATATTCTTGCTAATAGGAATATACAAGGTATCTAATGCCAATAGTCATCCATTTCAGTGTTTCATATAGCAGTGTGATAGAAATGAAATGAAACAAGTTCTATATACTATTTCCCTGGAATTTGAAATTTTTAAAAGTTGGGAAACATGAATTTATGAGAGCATTCAGCCATTGTGACCAAGTTCTTAGTGACCTTCTACTTCTCATGAATACCTAATGTTTTGGAGAGGGATGGGGAAGGAGGAGGTTGATAGAACAGGCAGGCTGGAAGCACTGGAAAGAAAACCTGGGCCTCTGCTCAGCATGCCTAACCTCTGCAGCAAAAATAATCTTACCTGCTGAATGGAGTGCTTGTGTTGAGAAGGATTTTGAGGTCCCATCTAGGCTCAGTGGGAACAGTACTGATTAATTAGCAATTTTCATCAATTTTTTAATATAGCCCATTGGATTGTAATATGTCAAGTACTTTAAAGTAGGGATTGTACCTTTTATTTTATTTATTTATTTATTATTATTTATTTATTTATTTATTTTTTTTATTCAGAGAGGAAGGGAGAGGGATAGAGAGTTAGAAACATCGATGAGAGAGAAACATCGACCAGCTGCCTCCTGCACACCTCCTACTGGGGATGTGCCCGCAACCAAGATACATGCCCTTGACCGGAATCGAACCTGGGACCTTTCAGTCCGCAGGCCGACGCTCTATCCACCGAGCCAAACCGGTTTGGCATATGTCAAGTACTTTAAAGTAGGGACTGTACCTTTTATTTTATTTATTTATTTATTATTTTAAAATAATTTTTGTATCTGTCTAAAGTGGTTGGCACATTGTTTTGTGTGTTATGTAAATGGTGGTTTTGTGTCTTCTGAAGGAAGGAATGAATGAATGAGGAAAAGTCATACTTTATCCTCCTGGTCCCAGGAGTTCTATCAAAGCCCTGTGGGTAAATAATAGGATCCCACAATTCTTGTGCTCATGTGTAAAACCTAAAGCAGGCTTCACAGGGGTAAAAAAAAAAAAAGAGGAAATTTCACCTGAGAAATTTAGAAGAGGTAATGCCAGAAAAGACCCTTGACTCATATACATTACCTCCCAGATCATCTAATGCAGTGGTTCTCAACCTTCTGGCCCTTTAAATACAGTTCCTTATGTTGTGACTCCCAACCATAAAATTATTTTCGTTGCTACTTTATAACTGTAATTTTGCTACTGTTATGAATCGTAATGTAAATATCTGATATGCAGGATGGTCTTAGGCGACCCCTGTGAAAGGGTCGTTCGACCCCCAAAGGTGTCGCGACCCACAGGTTGAGAACCACTGATCTAATGGGATATTCTTTTTTGACAAATGAAGAAACTGAGCCCATTAAGAGTGTCTTCCCTAAGGTTACACAGGTAGTGGCTGATGATTGGGAACTCAGATCTGGGTCTCTAGGTTACTGACCTAGTGTTCTTTCCACTACACTTTGTTGGGAGAATTTGGGGCACTTGTTTTGCTGCTCCCATCCCCCATGCCCTCAACAGATGTATATATTTGGAGTGTTGTTGTTTTTTAATATATGCCCACATTTTCCCTCTCGTAGATACATAGAAATGTTTAGAGATTGTGACCTTGATGCAATGGTCAGACTGGAGTCCAGCACAATGAAAGCCTAGACATTTGTACTGAGTGCAAAGAGATAGTGCAGGATCAAGATTCAATTCCATACATAGTTATAGCTCTGTGTTTGAATATAAATGTGTGTGTGTGTGTGTGTGTGTGTGTTTAACTTCAAAGGAATAATGTTCATTGTTAGCTATGGTATGATTTGAGTGTGTATTTGCCATAATCATGATCCTAGTAAAACTCTCATTATGACCCATATGCACAGAGTTGAGATTTTGCAGGTAGACTTCTTGCTACTGTTTGCCACACTTAGTTCACATTAAAATTTAGTTATCTATGATAGCTCCATTTCTGGAGCAGGTCCTCTATCTAAATTCTTTTAAATAGTTAGAGGAAGATTAACGGTTCTTCCCGATTTTTGTTTCTTAAAAATAACCAGCTTTAAATAATCAGTATCCTAAAGAGGACTATTTTGTGGTGGCAAACTCTGCTCCTCCTCATGAATTTACCTGCTGTAGATTTGTTTTGGGGTAAAGTTAGTTTAAATAACTTTCCATACATCATAGGATCTTCTGAATATTTATGGGTTTATGCAGTACACATATATTTATCCACAATCCCCAATTTAGGTACATAAAGCTCTTTGACTTTTAATGAGCTTTTTAGATGTGTGCAATGTCTGAAACTTGTGGATAATTAGAAACAAGCAAATAACTTGGGACCATCTTTTGGAAGCAATTTAGATTATGAATGAAGCTGTAATCCTTCTGAATGCTCCTTTAATTCAAAAGGATGGCAGTTTCATTCATAGCACTCATTTTCCCCCCAGAAATTAAAGTAAAAAAATTTCAGTAAGAATTTCTTCTGGGCTTTACTTACTATTAATCTGTAATAAGTCTCACAGCTTATTTTTGTGTAGTTTTTGTGTGTGTTTCAGAAGAAGTAGACTGGGAATTGTCTTTATTATCCGAGGACTTACTGCTTGACATTTGAGGACAATATTGCCAGCCTAGAAATACATTAACAGTGGTACAGAATATTTGAGTAAGACAGCAGGAAGAACCAAGGGAATATCAAAACTTAAAGATTTAGCTCATTTCTATAGCTGCTGGAATGTGCTCATTGAAGAGGGTTTTAAAAAGTAGGGTTATTCCCAGGATGTGTTACAAAGTATGAGGCTTTTTCTT